GACAGGAATTGAACTCACACCCTTTGGGTCAAGTCAGTGGATCCAACCAACGCTTTTATCCACTCATCTATGTGCCCTTGAAGACTGGGCCTTCTATAATTGAGGACACAAGGCCCACAAAAGTATTATCATCTAAAATATATCCTGCCTTTTAAATGACCTGGAATACATACATATATATATTATATATATATATATATATATACACAGACACAGACACACACACACACACACACACACACACACACACACACATATATATATATATATATATATATATATATATATATATATATATATATATAGCTTTCTTCACTCTTCAGAATGAGTCAAATCTAGCGTATTGTTTTTACAAACGTGAACAAACGCCAAGCAGCCAAAGTGCTCCATTCATTTTGCTGAGCCACAAAGCCCAGTGGATAAATGTTTATCCGTATCGTCCAAAATGGCGGTGATATTTAAATAATGTTGCCACACCATCGCCAATCATTGAATATTGGTGTCACATCTTGTCTAATTCTTTCGCTATGTATTTAGAGATTCTTGATAAAACCCAAAGAATAATCTGCAATATTATCCGTCCTTACCTATCATCTCGGCTTCAGTTATTTTCTTGCTTCTCTAACGTAGCTTCCCTCTGCCTTTTCTCTAAATATTTTCATGGTAAGTGTTTTGATGATTTTTTTTATTTTCTTTTTGTTACATTTCAGTGCAGCTGCTCGATTGGCAGCTACGTCTCAGCATTTTATATTGGAAATTACAAGAGATAAACCGAAAATTCTATGGTAACAGTTTCTTCTCTCGTATTTCTCGTTTGTGGAATCTGCTTCCGCCCTATTGTCTTTAAGTCAACATCTTCATAAGTTTCAATGCAGTGTCAATCGTTATCTTCTTTTTTTTCTCAGTTTTTTATTGTTCTCTTTTCTTACGTCTCTTTTTTTTCATATCTTTATTGTATTTTTGCGTCTTAGTAACGACTTACGGCCACATAACGTTGAAATATTGGTTCTAGTGCGATCACCAAAGATAAGCAACGTCGAGCCTGGTCACTACCTAGATGGATAATCGTTTAGGAATACCAGGTGCTGTAAGCTTGAATGTGCGGGTGGTGCATTGGATAATTGTTCGGAATTGCTAATCGGAGAGTCGAGTTCCAATGTCAATCGTATAGCTATCATAATTCTTCTTGTATAGTACTCTCTCATTAACAGTAGCTTTACTCGTAGTGTCTAACACCCAATAACGTCTTGTTTCTTAGTGGCTTGATTACTTTGATTGTTGTGAATTGATTAGAACAAGCATTAAAATTATGTAAAAAAAAATGATTAAAAATGATTAAATTTATTAAAAAAATAAAATTGATTAAACGAATAATTAAAATGATTAAAACAATGATTAAATGATTAAAACAATGATTAAAATGATTAAAAAATAAAATTGATTTTAAAATGATTAAAAAAAACAGTTGTCGCATGTAAGAAACAAATCTGCTTAAAATGAAAAATGTATTCAGTCATTCTGCAAAACGACAAAATTCCTAAGAAATACAAAGGACGGAAAATTTATTGCAAGAAAACATGATATATATATATATATATATATATATATATATATATATATATATATATATATATATCAGAAAAAGTATTACCATCTAAAATATATCCTGCCTTTTAAATGACCTAGAATACATATATATATATATATATATATATATATATATATATATATATATATATATATATATACAGACACAGAACACACATATATACACACATACACACACACACACACACACACACACATATATATATATATATATATATATATATATATATATATATATATATAGCTATCTTCACTCTTCAGAATGAGTCAAATCTAGCGTATTGTTTTACAAACGTGAACAAACGCCAAGCAGCCAAAGTGCTCTATTCATTTTGCTGAAGAGCTTCGCATTAACGCAGGTGGCTGTTGTTTGTAGAATTAGCTTGTCATTCAACAGTGCTCAATGGAAAATGTATTTTCAAGAGCTAAACTATGTCAGATTAGATTACTAATTTTTAAATATATTTTCATCTTGTTTATAATTTGTACGCTTTAATAATGAGAGGAAAGAGAAAAGAGTAATCAGGACGACAGTAGATAGCGATTGACATTACAACTAAACTTTTGCAGATTAAAGTTGGTTGGAAAGCAAGGAGCCGGAAGGGAGTTCCACAAGCGAGAAGTGCGAGAAAAGAAACTGTTAGCATAGAACTTACGGCGACATCTATCCAGCTCAAATGTTGATGAGATCTCGACGCCAATCTAGTATTGCTCTTGAATTCATAGAATCTAGATACCATGGCTTAGAGCTCGTCCAAACTATTACCATGAAAGTATTTATAAAAAAAGACGCAGAATGGCAACATTACGGTGGTGGGTAAGTGACTGAAGCCGAGCCGCCAGATCAGGACCATTAATATTGCTGATTCTTCTTTGGATCTTATCAAGGAGCTCAAGGTAAATAGCAGGGACACAGGGCCATATATGGCAGCAATATTCTAAGCATAGACGAATGGTTGACTTATAGATATGTAAGATAGATTCTGGAGAGAAAAAATTATCTCTCACGACACCATGAACCGACATTCTTAGCATCTGACCTAGCAACGGATTCATTAGTGTTTTCACGTCATGTCAGCCGAGAACGTGAGCCCAAGAAGACGCAACGAGTCACTTTCCTGGAGGTTAGCATCAGCCATACTGATAGAAGCCAGAGTGGGATCACTCAGAGGATTAATAGAAAGGAGTTTAGTTTTGGCGGTGTTAAAACTAACAAGCCATCTTTTGCCCTAGTTAACGATGGACTTGAGGTCGTTATGCATATCGGCTGCCATTTTGAACTTTCCGGACTGATCAGCCTTATTATCGAGGCAGGATTAAATGTGTCATCAGCGTAAATACGAAGCTGAGACTCTGGAAATAAATTTTTTTCGCACAGTGAACCGACTTTCTTCGCAGCTAACCTAGCAATGGAGTCAATATAATCTTATTTTTATTCCTTCAGTTATCACTGTTTTCGCATGTAGCAATTCTGCTCTTTCAAATCGTTAAAAATAAAAATAAAAAGATTTCAAAGAAAGCTAATACGATATTTATCGTTAAACAATGGCAGCAATATTTAAGAATAATTTTAAGATATGATTGATTTTATTTCCTGCATGATTAATCAGTGAATTTTATTTATTTAATAATAATAATAAATGATGTCACGAAAAAAAAAAAATAAAGATAAATGATTCATCGATCATTAATCAATAATTGCAAATCGCATCTTTTATTCTTAAGGTGTCATAGTAGTTTTTCCTACAGACTCAATAACAAGTATCGGTTTACGGATATATCACGTTGAAAACCCGATTCTCGCAAAATTATTGAAGTTAAGCAATGTCGAATCTGGGTAACCGCTTAAGAATATCAAGTTCAGTAAGCTTGGATTTGCGTCATAAGTAATATATAATTGCTCGGAAATGCAAATAAAGAAGCCAATTTCCAATTTCAATCGGTTTCGTAATATTCCTTTATTCGCAAAGTACCCTTGGGAAAGCTATGAATTCAGCTCTTTCCTCCCAACTATAGGTTAAATAGTAAGACTTGTATCAGTAAATCATTATTATCTCCAAAAAAGTATTACAATCTAAAAATAGTTGAAAGTATATTCTGCCTTTAAATGACCTGAAAAGGGTTGATAAACCGTAAGCACAAGTCAATTAACCAATCTATCAATCAAATACCAGCATGAATAATATTTACTTAGAGACACAAATCAAGGACACATTCAACAATCTGGGTTGTGTATTACGAGATAGGAGGATCACTTTGGCAACAAAGAAAAGAATACTGAGCTGTTACGTGACATCTGTCCTCCTTTACGGTAGCGAAAGTTGGACGGTCTCCTCAAAGATGAAGACGAGATTCGAGGCAACGGAAGTATAGTTCTACAGAAGGATGCTAAGGATATCACGGACCGAGCGTGTGAGCAACGATGAGACTTTTGAGTGGATGCAAACAAGGAGGAAGCTTATATTTAACATTAGGAAGAAGCAGCTGAAATTTTTGGGACACGTCATGAGAAAGGCAGGCCTGGAGAATCTGATACTCACAAGCCGAACACAAAGAAAGAGAGACAAGGGAAAGCAACGTATGTCACATCTGGCGGTCTTAAGCAAATGGTTGACATAACCTAGTCTCGGGGAGGTGGCAGAGGGTGACATTTATTGAGAGCTATAAAGGATAGAGGGAAGTGGAGACCCATGATCGCCTACGTCCTGAAGGGACACGGCATATAAAAAGAAAAGAAAAAATAAACTCCCCCAATGTTTGACAATAGATTTTAGTATAATAAAAAGAAATGGATTTTGAAATTCAATATCCTATCATTTTTTTTAGGTTGGAAAACTATCAGTAAACTATTATTTTCTCCAAAAAATTATTACAATCTAAAAATAGCTACAAATATTTTTCTGGATTTAAATGACCTGAAAAAGGTTGATAAGCCGTAAAACAAATCAATCTATCCTTCAACCATATACTAGCATGCCTTGGGCTTAATCATCAACGTTATCTGTGTAAATTCATTTCATAGTGCATTGCTTAAAATCATAAATTGGTTACGTACAAAAATAAAATATTCAACATTTCTATCACATTGTATTGTTTGTAAGCAGAAGTCTTTTCTTCGATGACTCCAAGAAGTGTCCATGTGTATTTACTCAAAAGTTTGTTTCGAAGAGCCTACTTTAACAAGATTGATCCTTTTAGCTATAAACGGTTAGACACGTGTTGATGAAATTTTACGAAATAGCGATTGGCGCCTTGCTACTGAATGGAGGTTAGAGGTGTTAATGTTGCAGATCATTAGAATTGAACTCATCTCGAAATTCCTTGATATGTTGGGCGACTTACGGCGCCTTGATTTTGTCAAAAATGTCTCTTGAAAATATATTGCTTATTTCATGATATACTGGTTTTCCATCGACGTGCCTTCGTATGTATCGATTCAAGCAAGTTTATATCTATCTATCTATCTATCTATCTATCTATCTATCTATCTATCTATCTCAGTCTGTTCAATTCTATCTATCTACGTCAATCTGTTCAATTCCGTCTATCTATCTATCTATCTACCTATCTATCTATCTCAGTCTATTTCAATTCTATCTATCTATCTATATCTATCTATCTATATATATATATATATATATATATATATATATATATGTGTGTGTGTGCCTATATATGTATGTGTGTATGGGTGTGTGTATATGTATGTATTTGTGTGTGTATGTGTGTATATGTATGTATGTATGTATGTATAAAAATATATATATATGTTTGTATATATATTTATTATATATATATGTATGTGTGTATGTGGTTGGATATATATATATATATATATATGCATATATATATATATGTATGTGTGTATATGTGTGTATGTGTGTGTATGTGTATATGTATGAGTATGTACATGTATATGTATGATAAAATCACGGCAGTATAATGGTTGGCCAGCATGGTTCGCTAGATTAGGTGCGACTGAGGAATGAGTTCGTTCCTCACTGGGTACCCCCTAATTTCGGCATTGTGCCACGATATATTTGTATATATATATGTATGTGTATGTGTATTTGTGTATGTATGTGTGTATATATATATATATATATATATATGTGTGTGTGCATATATATATATATATATCTGTATGTCCTATTTTATTGTGTATGTGTATTTATATTTAAGTATATTTCTGTTTGTATGAATGTGTTTATATATTTGTATGTTAGACTATATGTATATTGCTGTGTGTTGGTGTTTGAAGGTATATTTATGTATCTATATGTTAGTTCGTTTATATATGTATTTGGTTGAATGTTGTATTTTTATGTATGCATGTATATATGGGTAATTGTTATTGTATATAGATATATTTATTTATATATATATGTTTATTTGTAGATATGTATGTATGTGTGTATATGTATTTATGTATGTTTGTGTATGTATATATATATGTGTGTCTGTTGGCACCTATTATGTATGAGTTTGTTTATGTGTATGTGTAGGTATGGAAACTTTGGTATATCATGACGGTTTTTTGGGGTTTTTTTTTTATATATCTAAGTATGTGTGCATAAAAGTCTATGTGTATATATGTGTGTGTATTTAGGTTTATATGTATATGTGCGTACATGTGTACTTGTTATCATAGATATGTATATGTACGTATATGTTTATGTTTATATATTTATTTGTATGTATTTCTGTATGTATATGTATGTATGAGTATATATATATGTGTGTTAATTTGTTTTTGCTGCCGTGTATATATATATATATGTGTATATTTGTGGATTTCTTTATCCTGTTTTTCTTTGCCAAATATATAATGAAACTATTATCAATTTATATGATTAATATATATTTTTATTGATATTTATGGTTTTAGAATTTTCGTTTTAATATATTAAATAATATTATTTTAAACATTTTTATCTTTGTATATTTGCTCCATTAAGTTATAATTCAATAAGTGGTTAGCATTTATTTAAGTCTGAAATATTTACTGGTTGTGATTTCTCAATGTCTATGCCATTGTCTGTGGATGTATGTATGTGTATATATCGGTGTCTATGTGTATGTAGAGTGTATTCACATTTATCTGTGTGTGTATAAGTGTTAGTTTCCACGTCTCCTTTTTTTTCATAAAGGGCTGTAGAGATGTTCATGTATTCCCCCACCTTTTTTTTTTTTTTTTTTATGTTTTTGTGTGTGTGTGTGTGTGTGTGTGTGTGTGTGTGTGTGTGTGTGTGTGTGTGTGTGTGTGTGTGTGTGTGTGTATCTAATAATGTCTGGATGCTTTGTATTTTTGATTGTATTTTTGTTTGTGTCACGCGTGAGTTTAAGACCATATTCACAAACTTTAAAATAAAAACGGAAAAGAAAGGGAAAAAGAGAAAAATATATATACATGTATTATCAAATGACCGGATGTATTGTAGCGTCTTGTCTTGTCGAACGTAATTTCAATGAAGAAATGAATTGAATAAACATATATATTTTTTCTTTTCTCAATAATTTTGTAGTTTTTAAACTTAATAGTGATTAAATTTGGTTTTAAAATTGCCAGTTTTTTAATTTTAATATTAAATTTTATCATGTAAATTTATAATTATTAGTTAGTATAAATTATTTTTAATATTACACGTATTTAAAGATCTGAATAGCTATTAGAGCAGGATTTCGTTGTCAAGCTTTTGAAAATTTTCTATACTTCGTTTTTGATTGGTTATTCTAGCTTTTGTAACAATGTTTCCCCCTAGTGTAGGATCGTTAATTAATCTGAAACTTTTAAAACCATTTATTTTATTTTCAGCATCATCACTTGATAAGACACAGAGTGTGTTGAAACAAAATGGCTATTTTTGTAGTGATTTTATAACATACTTATGTTATAATTTTTTTATAAAAATAATTATATATATATATATATATATATATATATATATCTACCTCAGTCTGTTCAATTCCATCCATTTATCTATCTATCTATCTATCTATCTATCTATCTCTCTCTCTATATATATATATATATATATATATATATATATATATACATACATCAGTCTGTTCAATTCCATCTATCTATCTATGTATCTATCTATCTATCTATCTCTCTCTATATATATATATATATATGTCAGTCTGTCCAATTCTATCTATCTACTTCTGTTCAATTCTTTCTATCTATCTATCTATCTATCTATCTATTTACCTCAGTCTCTTCAATTCCATCTCTCTATCTATCTATCTATCTATCTATCTATCTCAGTCTGTTCAAATCTCTCTATCTATCTATCTCATCTATCTATCTATCTATCTATCTCAGTCTGTTCAATTCCATCTATCTATCTATCTATCTATCTATCTATCTATCTATCTCAGTCTGTTCAATTCCATCTATCTATCTATCTATCTATCTATCTCAAAATTTGTAATTAATTTCTGCTCAGGATAGTTGAAGCATAAACCACAGGTGGTCTATACAGGTTGACCAAGCGTCTACAACAGTGATTTGCTCGCCGTCCTGGCAGACTGGTGTGTTTGGGAAGAACTAATTGCCAGCTTTTTATACATCTACAGTGCTGCGCAAAAGTAAGCAAACCCTTAAGATAATATCTTTAAAATTTTTTCCCAGACAATCAACAAATCTTAATGAAACTCTGTATCAATAAAAAAAATCTTTTATTAAACGAATTTCAACCATTTCCAAAAACATCTATAAAGCTGGAATAAAAAAAATATTTATTAAAAATTAAATGTGCAAAAATTAGTGAATCCTTACATTCAAAAATTTGTGACTCCTTTTGAGGTCACGACGCCGAAAAAGGTTTTCTATAGTTCTTAAAAAGTTTCTGGTATTAGAGAGATTCAAATTCTGTCCATTTTTCTTCACAAAAACTCCCATAATTTTTCCATATTACCTGGATTTCTGGCATGTTACTCCTTCTTTAACTTGAACCACAGGTTTTCAATTTAGTTTAGATCGCAAATCTGACTAGGCCATTTCAAGACTTGAAATCTCCTTTTATTTCACCCGTTATTTTGTTGATTTACTATAATTCTTCAGATCAATGTCCTGTTGGAAGGTCCAGCTCAGACATAATCCCAACTTTCAAACCGACGGCAAGAGATTGCTTTATATATATAAAAATTGCTTTTAATATTGCAGGGTCCATTGTGCCGTCAAAATTGATCCGTTCAAAATTGCTTTTAATCTTGCAGGGTCCATTGTGCCGTCAATGCGTACTAATATTCCTGTGCCAGCTTTAGAAAAGCATCCCAAATCATAATGTTACCATGTTTGACTGTTGGCACCAAATTCTTCTCTTAAAAAACGTACTAGGAGCCAACGAGATATACCGTCTATCGTTCCTCTCCCAAATCTCTAGTTTGGTTTCATCCGACAATAAAAACATCTACCAGAATATTTCTACATTATTAATATGATCTTTGGCATATTTCGGCCGACCTTCTTTGTACTTTTTCGTCAGAGGCTTTTTTTGTAGGCATTCTTCCGTGAAGATCGGATTTCGTTGCACTGTAGACGTATTCAAGTTGATACCGACATTTGCCATGGAGCCTAGAAGAATCGTAGAGTCCACAGCAGAATTCGCCTGGGTTTGTCAAACTAGATGTCTAACTGTTCTTGCAGTTATTTTTCGCTGACTGTCAATAAATGATTACGATGCGTCATACAAAGGCCTTCCATTCATAAATAATTTGATCCTTTGAGCAATAAACGGTTGGACACGTGTTGATGAAATTTTACGAAATAGCGATTGGCGCCTTGCTACTGATTGGAGGTTAGAGGTGTTAATGTTGCAGATCATTAGACTTGAACTCATCTCGAAATTCCTTGATATGTTGGGCGACTTACGGCGCCTTGATTTTGTCAAAAATGTATCTTGAAAATATATTGCTTATTTCATGATATACTGGTTTTCCATCGACGTGACTTCGTATGTATCGATTCAAGCAAGTTTAAATATATCTATCTATCTATCTATCTATCTATCTATCTATCTATCTATCTATCTATCTATCTCAGTCTGTTCAGTTCTTTTTATCATCTATCTGTTCAATTCTACCTATCTATCTATCTATTTCAGCCTGTTCAATTCTATCAATGTACCTATTAAGCAAGTTTATATCTATCTATCTATCTATCTATCTATCTATCAATCTATCTATCTATCTATCTCAGTCTGTTCAATTCTATCTATCTATCTATCTATCTATCTATCTATCTGTTCAATTCTATCTATCTATGTATCCATCTATGTATCTATTTCAGCCTGTTCAATTCTATCAATGTACCTTATTAAGCAAGTTTATATCTATCTATCTATCTATCTATCTATCTATCTATCTATCTATCTCAGTCTGTTCA